GGCAAAAAGAACGATTTACACCGCACGCGCCGCCAGCTCGCTAATTCTCCCGTCCTTTAATCTTGCATGCTTTAGCGCCTGTTTCTAAAAATTAATTAACATTTCAAAATAGCCGACATCTGACTTTAGAGTGAAGACATAATTATAGATTGCTAAACTATAAATTTTAAACGTGTTTATGGGAAATTAAATCTGTGGAAAATAAAAAATACCATTTTAAAATAAATTACATACCTACTTGAAATGACATAGGACCTACTCCTAAAATGGGTTAAATTTTGCCGTCAATAGTTAGCTGACGTTGGTTTAATGATACCTACTAGAATCTAGAATAGATAGATAGATCTTGGCAATGATGAATTAACATATAGACACTAGCTGTCCCGTCAAACGTTGTTGCCATATAAATTAATAACGCTATAAAAAATAAGGGTTAATGATAGAAGGGTGAAAATTTCGGATTGTATGTATTTTTGTAGGTTGTATCATAAAAAAATAGAAACTAAAAATTTTGTCTAAAATATAAAAAATAAAAATTTAGGGGTGGACTACCCCTAACATTTAGGGGGATGAAAAATAGATGTTGGCCGATTCTCAGACCTACTCAATACGCTCACAAAATTTCATGAGAATCAGTCAAGCCGTTTCGGAGGAGTATGGGAACGAAAACTGTGACACGAGAATTTTATATATAAGATATATTTTTTACTTGGGCAAAATACTCATGGATACCCGCCCACCCCGAGAGATGTAGTCGAGTACTGCTAGACTCTCAACGGCTAAAAACCCCAAGGTGTTCCTTCCCTTAATCTTTTGTCAGAGGTACGGGAGCTCGTAAGCATTCTTCCACAACCCTTTCTCATTATTATCTTATTATATTGTGATGAAATCATTAACTCATTGACGGCAAAATTTGACCCATTTTAGGAGTACGTCATTTGAGTACCTACAGTGAACAGAGCAGTAGATTGGGCGGCAGATTAAATAAAACAGAGTTCAATAGCTTTGGAGACAACCTTGTGCAAAGTCTGCTTTCCGTTACTGTCAAACTTCCAATATACTTATTGGAAACAGAACGAAAGTAGACAGTTTTTACTATCCTACATCCACATCACTTTCGCATAAGTTTAAATTTTTAGGCTTAGAAGAGTTTCTACTATAGGTAATAGACAACTGATATACTGAGTTTCTTCACATCTCGAGCACTTCGAAGTGACGGTAGATTTGACATATTTTAAGAGTCTGTAATAGACCTACGTAAATAAATATATTTTGATTTAATTTGATATAAATATTTAGATATATTATATTTATGAATACAATGAATGAATGAATGAATGAATACCATTCTATGAATGAATACAAATTCATCTACAAATGGCGCAACCATTTGTATTGCAAGGAATTGAACCCGCAATTACCGAAAGAAAAGCGGTGCGTTAAACCGCTAGACCACCGAAGGCGATCTTATAAATTTTACCCTTAAGCTTAAGGGGAACACATAAGTCACACGTTGTTGCCGTAACCTGCTGTAATTCTTTTTCTAATAATATTTTAAATAGAGACAGACCTATTATAAAAAGCTACCATTCTTTACGGTCCGTTAATTGCTATCATCAATTGTCATCATCATTATCTTGAACAGCCTTTGACAGTAGACATCCGTACTTGTTATTTAAATTATTCACAATACAAACACATATATCCCTTTGCTCTATGTTTCATGATTGCAATTAAAAGTTATTATTACAGTCTCGGTGGTCTAGCGATTTAGCACATCGCTTTACTTCCGAGGATTCGATTCGATTCCTGGCATGGTGTAAAAATTTGTATTTATGAGTATGATTGTTTGTTTCGGCCTGGGTATATACTAAGTATATTGTAATGGATTGGTGAACTGTATGGTCTCAATCGATGTTTCCCAATTAGTGGTACGAGTACCCCTAGGGGTACGTGAAGCTGCATCAAGGGGTATGTGCGGCTATCAGTAAAACAAACATACATACACACTCACAAACTTTCACACTATATAATATTAGTGTGATTGCTACAATAAGGGGTACGCAAGGTTTGAGGTCTTTTTTGAAGTGGTACACTTCAAAAAAGACCAAAAACTATTTGAGAACCAATGGTCTAAAAGTTGAATGTAGAATATAGTTAAATATAATAGTATACAGTTGCGTATCGAAAAGACAATGAATCAATAATTGAAACGTTTCAAAAAACATGACGTATAAAAAGAACTGTTCTAAAAATGTAATTTTAAATAAAATAAAAAATTACAAAAAAGGCTGTGGAGGCCGGTCGCCAACATATATTATGTATGTGTTATTGTAAACATGTACAACATTTAAAAAAAAATACGAGCTGAGTTTCTTGTTAGTTCTTCTCATCTCGAAATCATTCCGACCTGACGATAGATTGGACATATCATAAGTCTGTACTAGACCTACATGAATAAAGATATTTTGAATTTGAAAATTAATGGATTTAAAAAAAATATATATCTAAATATAGTATACTAGTTATATCAGTCGTCTCTGTTTTTCCTTCACGTATTCATGTATAGATTATTAATACTCCGTATTAAATTGTAATCTCACTTGAAGCATAAATAAATAACCCTAATAATAAATAAATAATCCTAGACAATTAACACAAAGCCATCTAGTCCCTCGGTAAGCAGAGCTGTTATGGGTACTAGATAACTGTATTTATTTTATTCTAATGGATTTTCAAACCGAAAATTTTGTCCGGTTACGAATTTGAGGTCTAAGCTAGTTTTAATTATAATTCTAGTATATTGTAACAAAACAAAAGAGCTTACGATTCTAATTCAAATCTTAGAATCCCTCTTGTTAGAGGTTGTTGACTTATTATTGACTTTGTCGACTCCACAACGACGAGGCGGTTCAACAAACCAACTGATTATTCAAGAAGCCATATTTTAATCCTTTGTAGATATATGTTATGCTGTAACTTTATGAGAAAACTCCGGATATTGACTTTTATTGTATAGTTATATTTATTTAATCATTCCCATCGACAGGAAATTCATCATCACACCCTGGAACCTAAAAAGCAGGAAACGGTGCCCTAAGACTAAAACCGTATCCATCAGGCAGGTTGACCTTCAGCCGCCATAAGTCCTTACGCGGGTTTGGAGTGCCATCAGCACTTGTCCCCTATCATCCGGTGAAACTGTAAAGGCCAGCTGCGGCCAACAGCATCAGAATAGTGTGAAAAAAAAACAAAAACGTTAAATTTTCGACAATTCTTAATTTCACATTTTAACTAGTTTTATGCTAATCGTCGAAAAAAAAACTATTTAAGAGGAAACAGCTTCCTAACTATCGCTGCATGTGTATAGGATTGTTCACTCCGGAAGCTCTGGACATCATTATACTGTTGCGGACCCAATACATCTGAAACTTGGAAATTGGCAAAGAGGTTGTTTTTGTATGTTTGTTTGTACACAAAAATACGTTACTTCTTCAGTCAGTACAAGAAATTACTTCATAGATTACATTAAGTATTGTATGAAAATATCTACATATTTGTATAAGTTGTCTAATACTCATAACAAGCTCTGCTTACTTTAATACTAGATGGTGCTGTGTGAATAGTTCTAGATTATTATTGGATGAACAGGATCATTGGATATTACGTCATTATGTGCCATCCATGATACCCCTCATCCTTTCCGGAGAACGAAGGTATCATGACTGCATGCATTCTGTAATTTCATTGATATATCCCGTCCTTCAATCAGAAACAACTTACAAAATAATCAGACTAGCAGAAATAGGCGTAGATAACTCTTTACAAAGGCTACCTCGATGAATTGAATATTAGTAGTATTAAGTAATTCTAATACACAGATGAAGATCTGTCGTACAGGTTTCGATCTAGCTCTGACTCCAGACTCTCACAAGGTATGACTATTGTTGTACTTACTTGAAAGTTTAAACATAAATTATATTGGATCCTTGAGAGTAAATAAACATTGTTACTACTATTACAGATTTCATTATTGTGGATGGTTTTTTAAATCAATGATCAATACATAAACATTTATGAGCTTCCTATCAACGCATCTTATTACAGACGCTATTATTATTGTTTCCCACAGATTTTTTGCTAATATTGATTGCTTTTAGTTTCTTCTATTTATTTAGTTAACAGTATAAAAAGTTAAAATCTAAAAAACTTTGGTATTAAACAGCTAAAGTATCAAATTGATGTCTTAATAATAGTGTACGCTGCTTATACTACAGAATATCAATTGTAAATAATAAATTAAATTAATCCGTTTACTATATAATTAAATAATAATATATATAACTTATTTTATTTAAAACAATTTACTCAATCTAAATACTCGTAGCTAACACATTTTTACGTGCTCCTATGAAGCTTACATAGAAATTTACATGAAATTAACATTAATTATTTTTAAAATCGCACTATTTCTAATCTAGAAATAAAGTTAATTAAGTTAATACGGGTACTTGATATTATTTATTCCGTTAACAAATTTGTATAGACGAATTATTATATAACACTATGTTTCAAATGCGTCGCAAAAGTTAAGAAGAAAGTTTAATTAATACTCGCCTATTCAAAAAGTACTAGCTAAACCACTTTATCAATTCAAATTTTATTATTCTTTTCAATAAATAATTGAGGCAATAATTTTCTGAAAAAAATAAATTCTGAATAATAAAATTAAAAACTTATCGTTCGAATTTCGAACTTACTAAATTAACAGACATCACCGATTGAAATTTTATTATTCTTTTCAATAAATAATTGAGGCAATAATTTTCTGAAAAAAATAAATTCTGAATAATAAAATTAAAAACTTATCGTTCGAATTTCGAACTTACTAAATTAACAGACATCACCGATTGAAATTTTATTATTCTTTTCAATAAATAATTAACGCAATAATTTTCTGAAAAAAAAATACATTCTGAATAATAAAATTAAAAACTTACCGTTCGAATTTCGAACTCGATGACAGGTAGCACAACGTCCGATTAAAGTTAACGTCGGTTGGTTCGTTGTTGTAACCGTGCGGACGTCGCCGTGTGCGGCTCAGCACTGCGGTACTATCGACCGGTCGGCACATAAAATAAGTGGATAGCACGCGATGTAATACACCTAGGTTCTTTAAGACGTCTATGTCGCTCGTCGCATTAATACATTTAAATTCCTACAGACAATGTATTACATATTTAGTCAGGAAATGACGAATACAAATTAGCAATGACAAACATAATCGAAGTTAAAAAATTCGTTAAAAATCACACACAATTATACTTTTAAAAATATGGACAGCTTCATATAATTCGTTTTAATTTAAGATTATCGCATTTGTGACTCTACAGTTCTCATAATTCGTCTCAACTTAAGATTATTATTTGTGTCACTTTGTCTTAGTGGATATTTTAAAGGAAGTATTACATATGAAAGTGGATGTTTATAAGGGTAGAGTAGGGCCAAGATATGGATGGACTGTATGAACGATGATATGGCAAGAAAGGGAGTGCATAAAGAGATAACTGCGAACAGTAAAACATTACGCCGATTGTTTGGGCGTTTGTTTATTTGTTGGGATTACGCACATGAATGGAATAGTAAAACATTACGCCGACTCCAAATGAATGGGATAAGGAAGATGCAGATGATGATGTGTATGAATTGCATACAATATTACAAAAAGGTCTACAGTTTCAGACTTTTTTTGTTATATAACTTCAACACTTCAGAAGTTATATGACGACCTCGGTGGTCTAGCGGTCAAGCACACCGTTTAAGACCGATGGTCGCGGGTTCGATTCCTCGCACGGCACAAACATTTGTATTCATGAGTATGATTGTTTGTATCCGTCTGGGTGTTTTCTATGTATAATATGTATGTATTTACAGAAAATAAATATCAGTTATCTAGTACCATAACACAAGCTCTATCTAGCTTAACTTGGGTCTAGATGGCTCTGTGTGAATTGTCCTGAGATTATTATTATTATTATTATTATATAACAAAAAAATGGCGGGTACAGCCATTTTTTAATTTTTGTAAAATAAAACTATCAATAGATTAAGTTCCGATTGTTGATGTCTAAAAATATCTACTAAAATTATATATTATTTTAGTAGTTATATACTATAATACTTAGAAAGGTATTTTTAGTACTTACTAGAACACTAAAATACTAAAAATTTATATATTAAAATTTTAATATTTCTTATTAACGGAGGAATTTATAGTTAGTTTCGTTTATTGATCAATGTAAAAAACTTCTTTACATATAGGGCAAGTCATAATATCAGTCAAAGTTGTATCATCATATAAAAAAGTCATCATAGCATATAACAAAAAGTCCAAGTTAAAAGTAACCTGAGCAGTATTTTTAGACTGCGCAATACCTTATCTATATAGATAAGGTATTAGGTATATTGGCCGTATGGCCAATTACGGGGCTTCCTCTATTTTTAACACCGATAAAATATTAAGTCTGTTGCAATTTGAAGTTTTTATTCAGTAGTCTATGGTCTCGTAGCTCTAATATTGATGAAGCGACTATTGTTACGTCTACCTATACGTGTTTCTTTATGGAAATCATCACGTATAAATTGCAGTAAATTAGCCATAAAGCTAGTAATAATAATAATTTTATTTTTAAAGGATTCTGGGCACATTACATGTATGTTTTTTTAAGTTAATTCCCATAGATTGTCCATAGATTGATGGTCCATACCTTTTTATGCGTTTTATTTACTTCATCCCTTCATTTTTTCCCTTGCTCTGCGAAAATATATCTTGTGTCCTCCTGCACTTTAATGATTAGTTCATTAAAATATATATAGGTTTTATAACTTATTCTTATTTCTACTTCCAATTGTATGAGTGGTTGGAAATATGGCGTTTAAAAAATCTGCATATATCTTACGTACAGTTATTTAAGTTGATTATTGAATGGACTGTGATATCATTTCATCCTTACCACCCCGTTACATCTGACGGTTGTTAGTAATGTGGCCTGATGACCCCATTGCTAGCAATGCACCAAGTAAGCTTGACCTCCACTCTTACTTACTCCACTGTTCCCCATGGAAACCATTGTGATGTGAATTTACCACGATGGGCTGACTGACCTGACGTCATGTTCATTTTATCATTCTCCACTGGTCCCCGCCAGTGTAAACCGTGCACTATTTCATTATCATCCATAAAAAAATAACCCGTTACATCATTTACTACCTCGACAGCGCTATCATTTGTGCATCAGGACTTTTCTTCATTTATAAGGGGGATCAGGGTAACGGAAAAAAATAGGGATTGATAATAAATATTAGCCCCATTACTAGCGTCTTATTTCCACTAATAGTATTGTTGATAAAATTTACAATGAAATAAAAGTGTCTGTTTGTAATTTTATTTTAACAGCTTATCTCTAAATGCGTAACTCTATATACCGTATGAAGTTTATTAATGGCTAATGTTGTAAGGAGCATCTTACAACATTAGCTATTTGTTACTAAAAGTCCCATAAATATCGATCCAGCCGTTTCAGAGATCAGCAAGATCAAACAGGCAGACGGAAAAAAATTTAATTAAGTTATCATGTAAATTTTCTTTAAATGATAAAATTAATCTCTGAAACGTTGGACCGATATTGATGGGACTTTCAGTCACAAATAGCTAATGTTATAAGGTGCTCCATACAACATTAGCCATTAATAAACTTCAAACGTTTCTAAAATATACATAAGTAGCCTAAGAATAATGTTAGGCTAATTATGACTTAGAAATTTTATTTATAAAAACAACTTGATTTCATCAAATCACTTTCGATGGTGGCTACGTCTACAGAACCAATGTGACCATTACCATTCTATTATAATTCATCAAAATCTATTCAGAAGATTGGGATCTGATCATATTTTTTATTATTTTAAAACATTATTTCTTTCAGATATTTCCCTCTCATTCACACTTACAAATTAGATCTCCAAACCTGGCGTCTGTAGCATTCATGTACTGCAGTGATTACATACTGTCATACAAATTGTATGTATGACTGTAACTGGTAGGATCCTCGTGTATTTTTTATTTAATTGACTAACAAGCTGGCTTCGATTATAAGTGATTACCGTCGTCTATATACATGAACCATACTACGGACATGTTATCATGTTTTATCGTGATAACGTGATATACCATGATAAACTAACTACCATATAGTAATATTAAGTAGTAGTAGTAATAGTAATTTTAAGTAGCTGTGACGTGGTCGAGTGGAATGAGTAGTCATGCTAACTAAAATGTCCAGACTTGTGGCGGCGTGGTGGGCCGGGTCATTGGGCTCCCTATAATATGGTCGAGCGCAGTGATGTCTGGCTCATCCGTCATACTCGTGAACGGGTGCTACTTGTAGGGACTGGTCTGCTCTTATCACTACGACTGATTCAATCTTATTGTATATTTGACCCAAAAATTAGTGCTGGTTGGTAGTTTGCAATTTGCATTCATACGTTTCGACTTGTAAATGTAAACTTACAAGGTTTATTTAAAAGATCAACACACACGTTTCTTGCTTGTTCTTCTTGTGATGAGACAGTTTTCCGAACGAGCGGTAGCAAAAAAAAAATTGTTATGACTATTCAAAAGTGCTTAATTTAAGTTTATTTGAATAAATAATTTTCTATTCTATTCTATTCTAAAGTGAGATGTAATGTTTCGTATCCCGTAATTTTATTTCAAAGGAATTTTCATCCTTTAACTGAAAAATAAGCTCCTTGGTGACTGAAATATCTGGCAGTGAAATATCAACGTAGATGACTTTTTATACAGTTCACCTTAGTCTATCCTTCTTCATCTTTCATTCAAATAACGCTCGTATGAATCACGTCAAGTCAAAGCCTCTAACTAGCTCATCTGATTACATTTACGATTAAAAGCCGTTTACAAAATTAAACTGGGTTGCAGAGTTTAAAAGCCTTTTTACCTTATTTCAGCCGATTAGGGCAATGACCGCAAAATCTGACTAGAATAATAAATTAATCTTAATTAACTGCTTTAAATAGTATACGCACGATACGATTTAGCGCTTGTTCACGTTTTCTCTATCCGACTTTTCTTCATTTTCTTCTAACCGTCGAATTCTTCTCCATACGAGTATTCGTCTACAACTGACTCAATTTAATTTCTGGTAACACTGTCTGTACTCTATGGCAATTATATTATTCTATGTTGCACTGTGTTCCGGAAATCTTCAGTTTTTTTTCTTATGGGTGTTGATGGAATGTACACACGTCTGCGTTATGGCTTACGCTGGCAGGAGACCAGTGGAGGATGATAACATAAGCATGATGTCTGGTCAGTTAGCCCATCGTGGTAAATTCATCACGATGAATTTAACACGATGGTTCCCAGGAGAAACACGTAGGTGTTAACCTGATATTGATCCCCTTTCATCGTCATCATTGATGAGACAGCATTCCGAATGAGCTGTAGATTAAAAATATGACTATTCAAAAGTGCTTCAATGTAAATTTATTTGAATAAATGATTTTTTATTCTTGTCTATTCTATCGTATCTTCAGAGTTAGGGGATGGGATTGTCATTAAGAGAGACTATTAGCCCATTATTTGTAATCGTAATTAATTCCTGGTGAATTCGCCACGATAGGCTAATTGTTCTGATTTCATTGTCATCCTATCATCCTTCATTTGTGATCCGCCAGTTAGCCACCATCATTATCGCCATTCCATTATCATCCAAAATCATGAAAAAATGTTCATAGTTAATACACAAATTCAACATCAACATTTCGACCTGATTTAACCAACTAGTGTCCTCACGAGCTACTCTTGTGGGTACACAAAAACGATCTGATACATTAAATCATGGTATATTGATGCTTTACTTACGCCACAAATATATAAAAAGCTATCAATCAACGTAATCATATACAGGATCCCAGTCAAAGGTTTCTGTAATACCAGTAATGTTATTAGTACATTATTTTAGATAAATAAGTTTTTTAAAAGTAATATTTTTATTTTAAACAAATAAAGATACAAACCTATATAATAAACATTAAATATCAACTTAATCTAAACACGATTAATTTTAAAACATGTTCAATTCACATGCGTTTTATTTGTACCATTTGTTTCCGACACAGTATTATTGGATCCATTTTTTGTAGAACCATTCTTTGTTGATCCACTATTTCTAGACCCGTTTTTTATAGATCCAGTATTCTTCACGCCATTACTTTCTTGCAATGCTAATGCCTTCGGTTTTTTTATGTATTCTTTGATATAGAAATCAACAAAGAGGACCAGCATGAAAATGTTTTGAGGCAAGAAAACTGCGGCGGTCCATCGCGGGAAGGCGCAGTTTGGCATGAACACAATAGCTCCCATGTGGATTACGAACCAGAAGAATTGTATCTGAAAATATGATACACATATTATAGATTTCATTTATCATCCTGAACAGTCATCCTTAGGCACATTGATTTATGAATTGATTTTAGAAGACAAAGTATAATTAATCACATTTAAAATTAGTATTTATGTTGCTAAGTAACAGTTAACATCTTATATATAAAATTCTCGTGTCACAGTTTTCGTTCCCATACTCCTCCGAAACGGCTTGACCGATTCTCATGAAATTTTGTGAGCACGATTACTCAATCGTGAACAACGTACTCAAGGTGTGAGAATCGGCCAACATCTATTTTTCATCCCCCTAAATGTTAGGGGTAGTCCATCCCAATTTTTTTTTTATTTTAAGGCAAAACAACGTTTGCCGGGACAGCTAGTAATAATATAATAATCTCAGGACAATTCACACAGAGCCATCTAGACCCAAGTTAAGCTAGCTAAAGCTTGTGTTATGGGTACTAGATAACTGATACTTATTCACAGATTTTTTTGTAAATACATACATATTATACATAGAAAACACCCAGACCGATACAAACAATCATACTCATGAATACAAATGTGACGTGCGAGGAATCGAACCGACGACCATCGTTCGTAAAGCGGTGTGCTAGACCGCTAGACCACCGAGGTCGTCAGTTATATGTATCGTGCAACTGTGAATAAAACGAGATTAAATTATATTTGTTGCTATATGTCCACTGAATATCTCCATCTATCCTGAGCTTGTTTAGGATGACCTGAAGCATGAGCTTATGATATTTAATATTTGACTGAATTTTTTTAAGTGGATTGACTATTTAGTTTATTAGTATATAAAATAGGAAAAACTTTCCAACATTCATTTACTGCATTATAAATCAGTAGTAAAAATAATAAAACTGATATTACTAGTAAGTCTATTTGAATAAAGATTATTTCTATTTCTTTTAAATGTATATATTTTCTTTTTGATAATCTGAATATTTATTTAATTATTACTTTAAGGAACCAAATATCCTCACCGTTGCTTCTCAATATATTTATGAAAATATCATGTATGCCAGGAAGAATATAGACAGTTTCAAAAGAGTTAGTGATTGCACTAATAAAAGCTTACGTAACAATAACAAACTGATTTTACCTAAATGTCGTTTGGCTAAAGTTAGTAATTCGTTTTATGGCAATTGCGTAAGGTTTTACAATAAAATACCAGAGTCTGTTATAAATCTGCCAGAAAAAAGATTTAAATGTCAAATAAAACACTTCCTTTGCAAAAAAGCTTACTATAAAATTGAAGAATTCGTTAACGATAATAATGTTTTTGTAGAAAAATTTTAAATACATAGCACTGACAATATTATCTGATTACACTAATAATGAGTGCGTAGCGATTTCTATGTTGATTGTCGCATGCCTCTTACTTGTTACACTGTAATTATTTATATAAAAAAAAACATCTATTAAAAAGAGCAACACACAAGTTTCTTGCTCATTCTTCTTGTGATGAATCTGCATTCCGAATGAGTGGTAGAATCAAAATATGACTATTCAAAAGTGCTTGTAATGAGTTTATTTGAATAAAGATTATTTCTATTTCTATTTTATTTCTATTTCTTATTAAAACTTTAATACACAAATAAATGTTCACATAGTGGATTTAACACCTCTACTACTCTATACTGTCCACATTTCATCTCTCAGTCAACATAAGTGCAAATGGACATTTACAAATAGTTTAAGCCGTGCATTTAAAAATAAATAATAACAATATGATATACTAATACATATCTAACTAGCTACTCCGCGCAACTTCGTCTGCAACATACTTACTTGATTACTTGATTTTTATCATTATATTGCACTCAATTTACATAACATCTCTTTAAGGGGGTCTTCCTATGTGATGGGTTGAAAAAATTGATTTTTTTTTTTTCATAAATTGCTCCCTTCACATGTCTAGAATACGGTAGTAAAGCGATTTTAGAAAATTCGAAGTCGTTTTAAAGATACAGCAGGTAAAAGAAAGAGCGGTTCGGAGCGGTGAGTTGGCAGTTAGAGACCGGGCCTATTGTGTACCGTCGGCTTTATACCTGGCCTCCCTTTTATTAATATATTTGTTTATACAAGTTTAGACACGTTTCTACAGACTTAAACAGAAAAGGAGCAGGTAAACTTACTGATAAAGTTATCCAAGAAATTACAAAATTCTACGGATTAGCAATTCGACGCCATCCAGATTCGCTTGAAGATATGAGAAAGGAAGTTTGGGCAACGTACTATCACAAATGTTCTTCTGATGAAAACCCTCAGCATCAATTTTGTCCAGAAGGCGAAGACAGTTGGTGTAAATGGCGTAAGGCTGAAGCTAATAATGAACTGGACCAATTTCATCACGATAAACCACCTCTAATTCCGCAAGTCCAAGAAGCTATCAAACCGGTTTTCGAAGATTTATTGAAAGACGAATTATTAATTCGTTGTTTAGGAGCAGAGACACAAAACAATAACGAATCTTTGAATTCTTTGATTTGGACTTTCGCTCCTAAACATCTTCATTCTGGTCCCAAAGTTGTTGAAATTGCTAGCTACTTAGCAGTTATTATCTTTAATGAAAGTTTTCAAGGTATTTTAAAAGTTATGTCGATTATGGGATGCCCTGTTGGTCGTGAAGCCCAAGCGTATGTTGAGAAACGGGATGAAAAGCGAATCTTACGCTCTGAGCGGCGCGTAAGTGATGTCGTTAAACAAGCCAGGATTGACTCAAGAGCTGAACAATCTGCTTTAAAAGAGTTTCACGAGGAAGAGGAAGGAATACTCTATGGACCAGGCATGGCCGATTGAGAGTAAGTTGATATTTTAATAGTTTTTAACGGACTTGAAACTTTAAACGCGTTTTTCTCAAAACTGTGTTTTTCAAACTTTCCTCCATTGTATCTCAGAAACGGCTGGACCGAATTACTTGAAATTTACAGGGCACACTCAATATATATAAACGCATGGAATGAACTATTATCAATCGAAAATTTTCAAAACTTCGATTTTTTTATAGCAAAAAACAAAAAAAAAAACGCCTAATTTGCAACTTTTATTTCAAATGTCTATCAAAAATCCATTTTTTTTTATATTCATTTGATTATAGGTCATTCCGTGCTTTTAAGCCTACAAATTAAAACGCCGTTTTTTTTTTTTTCAGATAAGCCGATCAGCCGGAATCGTGGAGGAAGTGGGAGCTCTTTTTTTCGAGGCGGGGGTGTTCAGAGCGCTGTAACTCTAGTTTGACTGAATATTTTTAGCTAAAATTTTATATTTATACTGTCCCAATATGTGTTAATAAATGATAAAAAACTTGAAGCTCTAAATATTTACTGGTCGTAGAAAAAAAATCCTAAAATATCCCTAAAAAACAGGCCGTCACATAGGAAGACCCCCTTAAATCATCAACCACAAATTTTCACACCTATACATATAAATAAAATTGGAGTGTCTGTTTGTAATATTGAAACATACACCACAATAACATTTTTTACAATTTTTGTCTCTCTGTATGTCTGTTTGTTCCGGCTAATCTCTAAAATGGCTGGACCGATTTTGACGGTACTTTTTTGGCAGGTAGTTGATGTAATAAGGACCTTAGGCTACTTTTATTTTAGAAAAATAAATTCCACGCGGACGAAGTCGCGGGAACAGCTAGTTTATAATATAAGTAAAATATATGATTTACCTAATTGTTACTATATATCTATACTATATATACTATATATATATATATATACTATATATACTGTAATTACTAATATATCTTTATTAAATTAAATTATCATATAATTATAGACACATATTATTTAAGTTAATAATGTTACAACATGTAATAAAAACCAATAGAATTTTTAACATTTTCTCTACAAAATACACGCAGTGTTTTCCGCAGTTCGCTTGGTAATTTCCATACTAAAGTTATAATGCATATCTGATGCTTGCATCGGGAGCAGTTTTAAGAAATCCAATCCAATTTGCCTCCCAATTATTACATAAATAATTTATACGAGTACCGACTATTGAGAAGTTTAATTTTCTTTATATTAAGTTCATAGATTCTGCGTGCTATGAAACTAAATAGGTTTCATTAGATAGTGGGTTTTTGAAGATACATTAATATTGGTAGATAATAATAGAATAATATAATAATATTAATATCAGTTATAAGTACAAATGTATAACCAAAAATTAAAAAAAAGACAGAGTGATATAAGTGAGAGAAAAAGTAACTCAGTCTTAACATAATTTGCAACTTATTTTGACTTAACTTTAACTTAATAACAAAATAAAATGTGTTTTTATGTTGTCTAAATTAGAAATTTAGAGAAAATTGATAATTTTATATTAAATAAATATAATTTCTTAATCGACGACCACAGTGGTCCATCGAGCACAGCTCTTTACATCCGATGGACGCGGGTTCGGTTCCTGGCATAGTGCAAACATTTGTATTCATGAGTATGATTGTTCGTATTAGTGTAGCTTTTTCTATGTATGTTATTTATGAAGTTTTAATTACAAATTTCTATTACTTATTTCATCATTAAATATCGGAAACTTTTAAGTATGATTATTACAGGAGAATTCACAAAGCGCCATCTAGTCCGATGCTAAGCAGAGCTTGTATATATATTAGACAACTGATATAAATACAGAGATAATTTTTTTTTGTTAATAACAATATCATACTAAACAAAACCGTTTATGCATACAAAACATTATGTTTCGCTTAATAGCATGCATAGCTATTTCTGAATACATGTAGAAATGCAGCAATAAATGGTTATCTTGAAAGCTGAAACAATTGAACGAGACAATATATTTACTCACTATTTGCAACTGTGTTATGTATTTCTTCCACCACAAAGAACCCTTCAAACTGGGCACTGCGACTGTTAGCAGATAGTATCCATACATTACAATGTGAACAAATGAATTTAACACGCCTATAAATGTTCCATGACCTCCTGAAATTATGAAAGACCAACATTTTAGTAACAAGTAATATTATTTTATCTGTGGTACTAGGTAATAATACATATAAATTATACTATGGATGGATGGACTGTGTGAAAGATGATATGGTAAAAAAGATAAAATACTGCGAACAGGGTCGAATGGAAGAGAAAAACATATTACGCCGACCACAAATAAATGAGATAAGGATGAAGCAGATGATGATGTACATGTATATTATACTGAGTGTCCACGCGGAAATTTGTAGAAACTTATTAATATATTAATTATAATATTAATTTATTGGTCATAACAAATTATAAACAACTATGTAATTATATTTTTGTCCCGTATCTAATTTTAAAGAGCAATACGCAAGTTTCTTTCTTGTTCTTCTTTTCTTGAGACAACTTTCCGAATGAGTGGCAATTAAAAACCTTGATTCTTCTTCTGTAGGTGCCATCTCCTACCGGAGGTTGGCGATCATTATGGCGATCTTTACTTTGTCGCGGCGGTCCTGAAAAGGGACCTGGTGCTCAACCCAAATCTCTGCCTGAGGTTTTTAATCACGAAGAACGGCGTCTGCCTGATCTTCGGTAACCCTGGACTTTTCCTTGTATTATTAAAAACCTTGATAAATGAAGTTTGTTTGACTAAAGGAATTTCTACTATATTCTATTCTATTCCGCCTGTTACAATGATAAATAATTATTACAAAAGGTGCGAGAGTACGCAGGTTTGACTCGTTCGCTTTGCCTATCTTTATATGCACACTCTTTCCAGCCAGAAAGCTGATTAGCGCATGAATAAACCTACCTATAAAGGCAGCTATAGAGTAAAAAGTAAGAATCAGAAGGTACTCTGTGGGAACACGAAGTTACAAGATTTTCCTTACCTGCAAAATAAGTGGTTGTTCCCCATACTAGCATCACCATACCTGTATGATGGTAAACGTGTAGGAATGATACTTGATTGAATTTCTTTCTTAGCAGGAAAAATACCTGGAAACATTTATAAGTATTTGTTAAAACTATAATCTCTCTACTGTTATGTGGTATTATGTTCTAACAACAGTCCTTGCTTTTTTATATTACGAAGGTGGAAAACAAGCATATGGCCCAACTATATATATTATAAATGATAGCCTATGGACGCCTGAGATACCAGGGGTGTTACGTGCGCGTTGCTGATCCTTAAGAAACCTTATAAACCCTTATAATATACCCTTTTTAATAAACCCCGTACTGTAGTCTCATGGGAAAACTTCGGCAGGTAGTTCATTCCACAATCTTTGTACGCGGGAGGGAGCTCCTCTGAAACCATACTGTCTAAGATCACTTAGGTTTTAGCGTGTCGGGATGAATTGCTGGATGATGGTAGTTTTCAATTTATGAGCATTCCGCAAAGAATGTCTCCATAGAATATCTCTTCTCCCTACCAGCCACCATTGTCCCTACCACATTTAGTTCAGCCAACTGTAGCTGGCTTCGCCATTTAGGCGTGAATGAACAAAGCTGAGTTGGTTCCCAGAAGAATGTTCTGTTCGCATTTGCTCAAGGTACGTACACCCAGTGGCACAAAAGGGCCAGATAACCAGAAACTTGCCATGGATGCTCCATTCTGACTGTAGTAGTCATGAAGGTTTAATTTACAAAAGATAGGAAGGCAGATATAATACTTACAGTGTCTAAAAGGTCGATAACTTTAAGCCAGAAATAGTAATACACGACAGTTGCAATACGAAGAGCTCTCTCATCATTTGAGTAGTCCACAGGCTCGCAGAACCATTGGTAATCTCGAGCCCAACCGAGTATTAAACCCTAAAATTAAACTCTGTATTAAATTCCTTAAGGTTTAGAGTAGGCTTTTTTATGTACGCGGAGTCGGTCCCATCCCATTCGAAAGCTCTAGGCAATACTTAGGCCTGAAGCTTACAAAACAAGCTGTTTGATGGCTGAAAAAGACTTTTTATATTTCTATCAATTATCTATTTGTTAACAATTTTTCTGTGGCACATTTGTCTTTACGGCTTCGGCGGTCAAACAGTTTAGCTTCGCCTTACTTCCGCTGGTCGCGGGTTTGAGTCGCTCAGTACAAATATTTGTATTCATGTTTATGATCGTTTGTAGTGATGTGGGCGTTTTATGCATATATATATATGTATTTATATCAGTCTTATGTGTAGTACCCATAACATAAGCTCTGTTTAGCTTGAGACTAGATGGCGCTGTGTGTATTATTGGCCAGGGATGTTATTAATATAAAAAATATATTTTTCCAGAGGCACTTACGTTGTAAAATATGTAACTGCAGGCAATAACTTGAAATGCATTGTAGACTATAAGAAGTTTTTCTATATTGTACGCAGGCCGATTTTTCATCCATTGAGGTCCCCATTTGAATACGATCATTAAATATAATCCAAGAAGCAAGATTCCTTCATAAGGTTTGGCGATAAGAAACCATGACTTCGTTCTGCTATCTGGAAATAAAATAACAAAATAATTGTTTTTAATGGCTTGGTGACAAACTGAGGTTTTGTGTGGTTGATGATGCACATGCCTGTGCTAATGGTATACGCTAGGATATCAACCCATTTCAAGGCTGCCGTCTACTCTACAGGAGACGTGAGGGGAGGGGCGCATCCCGTATTCTGGTGCGTTTCGAGAACCTGGGAAGTGTTCTCCAAAAATTTAAGGTGGGCCAGTAACCGCTGCTGGTGTCAGAGTTGATTACTACCATGACCCCAAGACAACAGGAGATGAGAGAGGGGAGGAGGGCACATCCCGTATTCCGGTACGTTTCCAAGATCTGAAAAGTGTTCTCCAATGCATTAAGGTGGGGCCAGTAACCACAGCTGGTGTCGGAGTTGACTGCTAACATAACCCCAATACAACAGGAGACGAGAGAGGAATTCCGTAGGGTTTGTAGTATGTAGCAGCCTTACAGTATCCATCCGTCCAGCCCTTAAGATGGACGGGTCTCTATGAGGAAAGCCGAAAAAATGAGAGACCCCTATAACAGACTTGACTAGATAACGTTGTACGAATTTTCTACGGTTATTTATTTATTATAGCCCCCAGTGTATATAGAGAATGCTTACATAATCTAGAATATTTAAATTAATTAAAATTACATTAATTAAAAAAAAAACATGAAAGTGAAGTAACAGTAAATAATTAAATGTGGTATTACAATTACTAATAAATTAGATACACTACAATAATGTACTTTAAGGCTGTTAGTCTAAGGTCCAAAATATATATGACAAAACAAAATTCTTTAGCAAAAAAAATTCTAAACCAAAACTATTGTCACACATGTACATAAATTATAGCTCTTTTCCTATTCTAATTGCATACATAATTAATTAAAACGTAAGGTCGCATACGATGTTTGGCATAATTAAATTATAAATAAAGAGGCCTAGAAAAAATTTACAGTTACTCTATAATATAGCATTATCTAAAACTATTCAAATGTATATAGAAAACTTCTCTATCTCTACACAAAGCAAAGTTGCTGATTTTATTGTCTTAGTTCATATCAAAAGGAGCAGGAATGTCAACCGCACGAGGATGGGAGAAACAGGATTGAAATAACATAATAATTAATAAGAAATAATAAATAAGTAATTCTAGTAAGTTCTAGTCTAGCGGTCTAGCACACCGCTTTACGAACGATAGTCGCTGGTTCGATTCCTCGCACGGCACAAATATTTGTATTCATGAGTATGATTGTTTGTATCGGTCTGGGTGTTTTCTATATATAATATGTATGTATTTACAAAAAAAAATCTATGTCTATGTATGAGTTATCTAGTACCCATAACACAAGCTTTAGCTAGCTTAACTTGGGACTAGATGGCGCCGTGTGAATTGTCCTGAGATTACTATTAGTATTAAATTAAGTTACTTGCCAGTTCTTCATAATTCGATCTATATACTGAACTGGATGGTATCATTCTAATATAAAAAGAATTACATTCATAAGCGGCTAAATGAATAAATGATTTTTGAATTTTTATTTGAATATTACTAGCCATGTTAGATTGACCATCACTTGGTTTCCCCTGAAAAACATTGTGATAAACTCCTCGTGAATTTGCCAATATGGGTAACTGACCTAACCTCCTACTCATCTTATCATCCGCCACTGGTGCCCCGCCAGCGAAAACCCATTCGTGGTGAACAACCAAGCACACTACTACTCAAACAACACACACAAGAATGAATGGGGCCCACTTGAACTGTAGGGCTAGCTAGAGAAGAGGTAGCAAGAAACTCAACTTTGTCATTATAGCCAGATAAAAGTACTTTTACAAAATGTTTATGACTTGTGTTATTGAGTAGATATCTATATGGCCTGATGGTAAATGGTCACTATACGTCATGTACATTTACAATGTCAGATTCATCATTTACTAGTTAATTTACTGGAGAGCAGAAGAAAAGCGATCAACTAAATTACTCGAGTTAATCGAGAAATATCCAAACTTTAGTGCTTAATAACAAAATTAATTTGCTTATATCATAATCTTAATAAAATAAATAGCTAAACTATTTTTGTTACGTACTAGTACAACTGATTCATCTGACACTATGCAGTAAATAATAAATTCTCGATTTATTATACCGTCTTTTTCGATGCTTGCGGATACGATCTTGCACGGTGAAATGATTTGTATTTTTGAATATGTTTGTTTGTATTGGTCTGCACGTATTCTATAGAGATTTTTTTTTATATTTACAAAAAAAGTACGTAGGTATTTTTATTTGCTTATTTATTGTAAAGTTTTGTATTCAAGAATATTTTTGTTACAAAAACGATATGTAAAAAAAAATATTTGGTTATCATCACTACATATTATAAAACAAAGTCGCGGTCGCTGTCTGTCCGTCCCTATATATGCCTAAATCTTTATAACTACGCAACAGATTTTGACGCGGGTTTTTTTAATAGATAGAGTGATTCAAGATAATGGTTTATATGTATAATACATATACACCCGTGCGAAGTCAGGGTAGGGAGCTAGTTTATTGCTAAAGTAAGTTTTCTTCAGTGTAGTCGTGGTCCAAACATTCAATACTTTAGACAGGTCGTTAGCTTCTTTACTACACATAAAAAATGATACAACAAACCTGCCAACTCATCAAACACGTAATTATAACCTTGCCATGATTTTCGTATTATTTCAGCCATCTTTCAATTATACCACTTATTTATCGGCAATTTCCGCTTCCTGTCCACTTCTTGGTTGCAAACATTTATATATCGCACTCTTTTTATTTTACCAACGCAACTGAATAACTCTACATTAGGATAGAGACTAAATTATAAGGGTCAAATACATTTGTTACTGTATCATTAATCGGTATTGAAAACTATTTATATTAAACAAAGCTGTTTATGAGTTAGATGGAGAAAAAATATGGGTTCTGTATATATTTTTCTTCATTTTTTTTTAAATTGGAATGATAAAGACGCTGTGACCTGTATATATATTTATATTAATTACTATTTTTCTGTATCTGGTGCAATAAAGTGTACAAATAAATAAATAATCGTGGCTACATATATTAACAGCATTATAGACATCACAATATCATATATATATATATATATGTATGTTCTTTATTGCAGATAATATATTATTAATAAATAAATAACCCTGGATAATTAATACAGTGCCATCTAGTCCCACGGTAAGCAGAGCTTGTGTTATGGGTAGTAGACAATTCATATAAATAATTTGATACTGCTTGTTTTTTTTTTGTAAATACGCACATAATATACATAGAAAACACCCTGAACGATACAAACAGTCATACTCATGACTACAAATGTTTGGACCGTGCAGGAAATCGAACCTGCGACCATCAGAAATAATATAGTCTGCTAAACCGCTAGATCACCGAGGACGTCAAATATTATTATAATATGTATATACAAATGTGAGGTTTAACGACTCAAGATTAAGATAGAATTTAGAATGGAGAAGGACATTTAGAAGGAAGAAAAAAGAATAGTCTCTTTTTTCTTAATCAATCATGGTGATAGTGAAGAAATCAGATATTCCAGCATGCAAATGTAATATAAATTACTTTCCATATATAATCTACTAATTGTAATGGTATAAAAAATCGACACATTTCATTATTACCTAATTGTTATGAATCGAAAAATTGTAAACGTCCATTAAAGTTTTTTTTAATCATAATCAAATAACTACTACCTTCTTATTAATAAAAAAATTGACTGTATAATTTTGTTCATTTCGTCACCCGTGACATGGCAGATATAGGATACAAACTAAACTACTAAAGATATTACAATATACGCTTTTATGTGGTCATATCAGTTGAGAACAATATCAGTACAAAAATGCAATAAAGTAATGCATATATTTAAAAATAATCCAAAGAACAACAATATTCATAATATTAATACTAGATTTAAAAACAATCTTGCTGTACCAAGTATCGTTTAGAAAAAGGCAATGAATCTTTTATGGGTGTCTCTTATATGAATGGGTATCAAAATTTACAATAACATACCGAAGGATATATTGAAATTACTATGAAATAAATTCAAAACATGTGTTAAATCATATTTATTGAGAAAAGCCCATTAACAATTACTTGAATGACGAGCGTGCATGGCAATAGTAGTTCATGCACGGGATTTTCACTAAATGTTAGACAGAGACACCTACATAAGTACACATTATAAATAAACTGGCTTTAAAAAATAGAAATTCAGTTGAGTTTCTTGCTAAAATAGGACATTTTAGCCGCTTATGAACGTCTATTGTACGTGAATAATATTTTGATTTTATTTATACAATGTTATTATTTCCACTCATCCCTGATATGTCGTAAGTGAAATAATAGAACTAAAGGGCTGAAGGAATGAATAGGTTTGCGCAATACATTGAGAATTGGAAATAAATAACCTTGGACAGTCCAAACAGAACTCAAATTGAGTGAAACTTGTGTTATGGGTACTAAACAATTGACAAACATTAATACATAGATATATTATTTTATTTTTTAATATTCTAATTTAATGTTAGACATAGACACCAATATAAATACCTATGCATTGTAATTAAACTGGCTTTTAAAAAAAAAGTAATTCAATTGAGTTTCTTGCCAGTTCTTCTCAATTGGACCTATATACCGAAATGGACGGTAGGGAAAAAAAATTATAATGTAAAAACTTGACGTTCATAAGCGGCTAAAATGTCCTACATGAATAAATGATTTTTGAATTTGAATAGAGAGAGAAAAATAATACTCATGAAAACTAATGTTTACACTGTGCGAGGAATCGAACCCGCGACCATCCGAAAGCAAGGTATGCTAAAACGCTAGACGAAACAGCCTATATAATTCAGTACATAACTCACTGAAATAATAATATAGTAACACTAAACAATCCACAGAGTCCCAAACTAAGTAGAGTTTGTATTACGGGTACTAGACAACTGATATAAATACTATTTTTTTTATAAATACATAGATTATATAAGTACATAGGGTTTAAACCTCTGCTCCAGCTCGTAATTGCGAGAATACCAGTTTTAAGTGTTATCGCGTTTCTTCTTCTTCCTCATAATTATTTTTTCTTTTATTTAATTTATTTACCCATTCAGTAGCAGGCCGGTACCTTATCTGTAATTACTGGTGTCGCGGGTGCTCATGGGCGGTATTGACTGAACATCAACCGTGTGCCGCAAGCTCGTATGTCTCCTATACTATAAAAATATTTTTCGATATCCAGTAATTTACCTGTGCATCAAAATTCATTCGATTTTGTTCAGTAGTTTTGGCTGACAAGAGTAACAAAGATACAGATCACAAACTTTAACATTTATAATGTTAGACTTTTTTAACAGCCTCGGTGATGCAGCGTTTTAGCGCACCGCCTCACGTTTCGATAGTCACGGGTTCGATTCCTCGCACTGTACAAACGTTAGTATAGATGAGTATGATTGTTTGTATCGGTCTGTGTGTTTTCTATGTAAAATATGAATGTATTTACAAAGATCGCTGTATGAATTGTACTGAGATATAATAATAATAATATCTAATTTAAACTGTAGTTTGTTTTACGGCAACGTTCATTTTGTAGTAAAAAAGAAAATACGAGTATCACTCCACTGGTACTCGTATTTTTTTTATTATTTTCTTTCTCTTTCATTTCTTGCCAGGTCTTCTCAACTGAAATACTAGCCGAACTGGACGGAAGAGATAATGATAAAAAAATATGATGTACACTAGACACTGAACGGTCCTATAGGAATAAATAATTATTTGTTTTGATTACATTTGATTGGTTTAGTACCTACATATCTAAGTTTTTTTTTGTTTTAAAATCTTGTTGTTTGTGGAACTCCAATAATTGGAATATTCATAAAGAAAGATAGCACTGTCATTGTCGATGTATTATCATGGTGTTTACTGTATTACTGCGTATGTCACGCATGGTAACCGTTTAATGTTTACTTAAGAACGACGTTTGTTATTTTTTATAACTGGCAATAGAAAACATACTGACAGTCTACCTTATAGTAAGTGGAAGTATATATAATCAGGGCCGTGTTTCACCTATTGGAGGCCCTGGGCACATTAAGATAAGGAGCCCATATGACCATGGTAATAAAGCATTTTATTAGAATAGACAAAGTTATAACTTATTTTTATTCCTTTACAGTAACATTAGATATAATGAATGGATAATATAAAGTAATCCACACTAAATGTATGGGGATGCCCTACCTTCAAAACAAACCAGTCAAAAATATTTTTAAAAAGTCGTTATGTGATGAAAAATAAAAAACACCCAGACCGATACAAATAATCATACCTACTCATGAATAAGTTTGCACCGTGCGAGGAATCGAACCTGCGACCTTCGGAAGTAAAGCGGCAATATGTACGAATTCGGCGCTGTACGAATTGTCTTGGGTAGCTATTATTATCATAAAATACTATATGTATGATATTTATTCCTTAGTATAAATAAATACGTGGCACTTACCTACGTAGCTGTAGGTCGTCAACAGAGATAAGGTAGTTTCCTTTCACCCTAAATAGAAATTCGATAAACTCTCACAGCATTCTGGAGCAGGGTATATTATGATGTTTCTTATACTAAAGTGCCTACTTTCTTGGTAAATTTTCTTCTTCATTGCTGATCTCCGTGGCCTTAATTACCTTTTTTTTTTATACTACGATGGTAGCAATCAAGCATACGGCCCATCTGATGGTAAATGGTTACCGTAGCCTATGAACGCCTGAAACACCAGGGGTATCACTTGCGCGTTGCCGACCCTTAAGAAAACTTAATATACCCTTCTTGAAAAACCCCATGCTGTAGTCTCATGCTACCTACTGCTGAAGGTCATCTGCATCTAAGAATATCTTACAACTAAGGTTGCAATCTTTCGAAACTAACTCGGGAGAATTTTATTTATTTACTAGCTGTGTCCGCGGTTTCATCCGCATGTAATTTAGAACCTATATGTTATTCTGATATATAAGCTATAATACTGTAAAATTTCATCAAAATCCGTTCAGTAGTTTTTGCATGAAAGAGTAACAAACATCCATCCATAAATTCAAATTTAAATTCAAAATTCCTTTATTAATGTAGGTATAGACCTACATGAATAAAGGAATTTTGTCTCTGTAATAGTACAGAGTCCTATGATATATCAAATCTACCGTCAGTTCAGAATGATTTCGAGATGAGAAGAACTGACAAGAAACTCAGCTCATATTCTTTTCAAATGAATTTTATACATGTTTACAATAATACAGGTTCGTTTATAAATTCAAATTTGGGAAAATAGAGTGACTAGAGTAACATACTCACAAACTTTCGCGTTTATAATATTACCAGCTCTCGCGACTTCGTCCGCGTGGAATTTAACTTTATTTTTCTAAAATAAAAGATTTTTTCTAAAATAAAGGTAGCCTAAGTTACTCCTTATTACATCAGCTACCTGCCAATAAAAGTCCCGTCAAAATCGGTCCAGCCATTTCAGAGATTCGGAACAAACAGACAGACAGACAAAAATTGTTTTTATTTTGGTGTATATACCGTCATGTATTGTTATTTGAAAAAACGATTATATAAAAAACTTTATTAATATGTATAGATGAGATGTAAGGAAACAAATAAAGCTTTATTCTTCACAAATATTTTTTAAGTTCAATTGTTTTTGAGATTATATAAAAAACTAGCTGTAAGCGCGGTACTTA